CAATTATCGTTTTGGACCCAAAAGGAGCAGCTAAACTAGCCATTATTGATCTCTCTCTCTCTCTCTCTCTCTCTCTCAGCAGGGAGACACAACATCTTTCATCTTTGTCCCCAGACCAACTATCCCTAGAAAAGGCAACCTTGTCCAAATTGCAGTGATTGTGGACAGTTAAATATAAACAACAGTCCTTTCTATGAAACCACAAAAATCACTATCTCCTTTTTTTTTTTTTTTTTTTTTTTCCCCCCCCGAAGGTTTTATCATAGATTAGTTTTTCCCTTGTCATGCACATAACTTTGACAGGAGAGCTGGTCAATACCATTCAAATGAGAACTGTCACAGCACAGTAGCCTACAATATAGATCTTTTCCCTTTCATGATAACTTATCTATCTCTGTTCTAGTTTCAAGGCATGTGCCAAGCTTTTGATTTGGGGAAAAAAGGTGATTTGTTGGCTTCATTCATGTTGGAAACGCAGCAGGATACAGCAGTGTGTGTGTGTGTGTGTGTGTGTGTGTGTGTGTGTGTGTGTGTACACACGTGTGCACACACCTTGATTGGTCTACTTGATTAATATGATTTAATATTCTCAAAACATGTTTCAATTCAGGCAAGCAAAAGCTTGAATGTGCTGGGCTGTGACTCACTAGACCTGTTAGCTGCCTCCTATTAGTTGTGCAATAAAGATTTAATATTTTCCTTTAATTTTTATTTGACCTTGTGCTACATTCACTCTCTTGTTGTGTTTTTAAGACTGCATTTTCCCATTAGTATAAGTAATTGGTATGAAAAACTGATTTTTTTCGGATTGATGCACTCGTTTTCTGATACTTTCATAAGATTTTTGGTTTTTGTAAATATTGTTGGGGGTAAAGCTGCAAAATTAGCCAGCCCCCTGCCAGAGGAAGAAACATCCTTATCCAAACTAACCTGTACAAATCCATCATCTAACGTATTAGTAAAACTTCAGTCAACCCTGACACAACCGTAAGACGTAACACCCTAACCTGACACAGGTCAAGTAAGGGGACAATGGCAGCCAATGTCCTGTGTTGCAAGAATTGTTAAAATATGCCTGTGGGATCCAAGGAAAGTTTGAGAGTTTCTTTTGCATGTAGGAGATGAGATAAACATAATTACAAAGATTGTTCATCTAGCCCTGTCTCCTGTACATAATCCTTCCCTTGCAACAAGCCTAGAGATTCTGTTCTTTACCTGTTTAAGTCCTCAAGGTGACAGTGATACACTATTTCCGTAGGCCCACACATACCCATCTCCTCTTGCATTATGAGAATAGGTGGTCCCTCTCCTGGGCCTCCAGACACTGCTACTGTCCAACCACCTCTCTGTAGACTTCTCTTTCAGGGTGATGGATTATCCAATTTTGAGTTTGTATCCCCGTCTTGTTACACATGCACCCACATGCGCGCACACGTGTGTGTGTGTTTGTATATGTATATATGATAGGTGCATCTGGATACCCCAGGCAGCTCTAAGAATCTTTAATAATACAGTCAATCAAAGAAACAAGTAGCAGCTCCATAACAGCACTAGTTAATTTTGCAGCTTTATCCCCAACAATATTTTCAAGGGTCTCCTTGGAGACCAAACACATTCATCACTTTGGTGTTTCTGAGCCTATATCTACTTAATGCAGGAGTAGGAGAGAAGCATTCCAATGACCCTAAAGCTAGGGACAGACATTACACACAAACTGGTTTAAGTGATCAGAAACTGATTTAAACCTGTAACAGAACAGATGTTCAGTGCACATAAACCAGTGTGAGAAAAACCTGGTTGAATGTAGCATCAGGCTCAACTGATTTGGCTTAAACTGGTTTATGCAATGTCTGTCCTAGACCCCTTGCTGGTTTAAGATTACACCAGAGCCCCCCAGTATTTCAACATGCTCTCTGCTCCACAGCTCGGCTGGCCCCTTCCCTCTGCTCCCTGGCTGCAGCATCATAAGTCTCTGCAGGCATCTGCTTGGCTTCTACTCTCCCCCCGACTCTCTGCTAAGCAGGCATTCCCTGTCCCTCACAGACATCTCAGCATTAGCTAGCAGACCACATGCTGGCTATCTCTGAGTTGTGGCACATGGATCAAAGGCAGAATCAACAGATCACTGGTAATGTCCCTCTGTTTTCTTAATGGGGTGATGAACACTGAGTTAAGGGTGATAAACATTCCCCACTGGGCTGTCCAGGAGGTGGGGGTCCCCTCTGTAATCAGTGTCCTGTCCAGGCCTGGCCACACCCCCCTTAGCTCTTCTCTGTGCAAGGGAAGGGAGGACAGCTCTAGCACACCCTGGCTTCTAGTCTGAGCCACTGTAGGCATGTGCCTGAATTTCTGGGATGTCTGTCTGGTTACAAAACTGATTTAGCCCAGCCAGGTTAGACTAAACTGCATAGATTGAATCAATTCAGGCTCAGGCTTTTTGAATGTCTTGAGTTTACAAGCTCTTGCTTCAACTGACTGCAGAGCCTGCAGCACTATTTCCTAGCCCTGGAAAAGAGCTCACTGGCTTCAGGATATAATGTGAAGGAGTTCCTATAGAGATTGTCACTGGTGACATAGGGAGTGACTGCCAGGCAGTATTTGCCTAGCTCAACCAAGGAAGAACAATGGGGTGGTCCCTTTGGCAGTCCATGTTTGCTGATTTACATCATTGTAGCACTATAAATGAGAAGACTTGCATAACTGTTTCCCACTATTAGTGTGGCTGAACTAATGCTAGCAACAGTGAAAATGCTAGTCTAGATAGGCTGAGGTATTTGGGATGGTCTTCTGGGTTAAGTACAGGCAGTCAAAAAGCCTGAGGCTGAATTGATTCAGTCTTTGCAGGTTAGTCCAGTCCAAGCTGCAAAGATTGAACCCATAAGCAAATGAACAGACATTCACTTTTGATTCAGGAAATGCAGCTACATGCCTGCAGCAGCTCAAGCCAGATGCCTGGGTGGGGGAGGATGCGCTACAGCCTGGCTCTCTGGCACATAGTCAGCATGGGCTGTGTATTCGTTTCCTTTTCCTGCTGCCAAAGGTCTCTGGGATTCGCAGTCCAGACGTGCAGCAGCAGGACTCTGCAGGATTGCTCATTACTTTCTCTTTCTGCTTCCAGGTGCCTCTGGGATTTGTAGTCTAGTCACAGCCAGTACTAAGTAAGCAGGGCAGGACAGCTCCATACTCGGGACAAGGGATGTTTAACACTCACTTCCCTGGACCCAGACCCCAGCTGGGTTTGCCTGAGGGGACCAGTGAGCCAGCCCTCGCTGCTCAAGCTAGGGAGCAGAGGAGGAGGGCTGGCTCTGGTCTCTTGAGCAGACAGCACAGCCCAGGGCTGCAAAATGCTGGGATTCTGGGGGACTTTGATTTAACTTGAAGCAGGAAAGGGTTTGAGACAGAAGTTTCATAAACCAGTTCGACCTAAATCAGTTACGTCTGATACTACATTCAACCAGGTTCATCTTAAATCAGTTTCAGCCCTTTTGAAACTGGTTTATGTTCACTGAGCTTCTATTTTGTTACAAGTTTAAACTAGTTTCTGATCACTTAAACCAGTTTGTGTAACTTCTGTCCCTAGCCCTGGAGTAGATTCAGCAGAGATCCAGTAGGGATTTGGTGCTATACACGATATTCAGAAAAAAAAAAATGTTACATCTGCTTTGAAATTTTATTGTGAGCCAAGCACTGCAGAACATGCTTGCTACTCTAACTCCCTTTTTAAGTATTATAAAGCAACAACTGCTTTATTTGGCAATAAAACAGTATTAAATTTTGTTTTTCAAATGATTAACTTTTGTCCTACTATCCAATCAGTCTTATTGCAAAACACATTTTATGGATTAATGGTAAAGCTGTTTTAGCAAAGTTACATATGGCTTGGGGGAAGGTTTAATTTTCCTACTTTATTTCTTTTTTTAGTTAAAAAAAAAAAAAAAAAAAAGTTATATAACAAAAAATGACTTTTAAAGGGGGAGGAGGTTGTTTTTTCCCCTTCACTGACCTCTTATTTTCTGATTTTAAATATTAACTTTCTAAAATATCAGTACCAAGACATTAAAAAGAATTTTTTCATTAAAATTTTAAAGTCATACCCATTCTCAAATGTGGTGCTCTCCATTCTGGCAAGTCCTTCAGTAGCAAAATAATTAATTCAATAAAAAGCAGAAATAAAATCCAGCAATTGATTGTAAATGTGAATTGCTGTATATTGTATTTATTATTGTAGTAATGCAAAACTTGAACAGTGCTATGCGAGGATCTAATTTGCTGAGACCTGCTAAATGTACTTAGAATTGGTAATGTATTGAATTTTGAAGCATGTTCTGTTGTTTTTGTATACAGACTCATGAGATTTGAAGTATATTCTGACAACATTTCACTTTCTATGTTGCTTTGAATACACTGTTCCACTGAAATACCCAGCAATTATGTATTTCTCTGTGTAGGCACCCCAAGTTACTATCTTATTGTTTCAGTATATATTAACTATACTTCTTGGAAGTGTATCTTTATTTATCACATGCACCCTTCAAAAAGGGATGAGAGGTTGTTTTAAATAATTAACTTTTTCCTAGTATTTTAACAATGCTTTAGGACATACAAGCTGGAAAAATTTACTTTGCCTTTAGTTGCATAGTCCTGGTACTGTACTTTTAATTTGCAGTAATTTTTATCTAGTGCTGTTTTGAAAGAAGTATATGTTTAAATATAAAAATCCTTCAGGCTGTTTCAGAAACCAGATTTAAAAGACAGAACTACAAGAATACCATGTTTCACTTGTTACTTATAGTATACATAATTGCATATATAAAATTATTCTCTTGGAACTAATGTGCTTTCAGCTTTCTATCCTGACAAAACACTTTTCTGTTTACTTTTTAAAGCAGGATTGCTTTGTAACACCATCTGTAAGTTTTTGAAGACGTGCAATGTTTTTAATCTGTTTAATCTTCCCTATGGGACACTATACTGATTTCTTCTTATTACTGTTTCCACAGGTGACATCAAAGAAATGCCATGGAGCAGTCAACTCAGAACTCATAGTTGCCCATCAATCGCTCAGTAGTCAGTGTAGATTCTGTTTTTACAATCAGCAGCTACATCTGGCTACTGGGTCTCTGATGACATCTTGTAGCTTCCACATGGTTTGCTGAAGATTATTTATCACTCTATGATGAAGTGATCTTTGTGGCTCCAAGATACAAAATAAATAATGAGTTATCCCTTGGAAATGATAAATATCTAATAAGGACTGAAATATTTGTTACATACAGTGCATAGTTTGGATTTGTTAGAAAATTATGGGGAGGTAGGGAGGGGCTGTTTTGGTTTTGTTTTGTTTTAAGGAAAGTGTCACTATTTTCTCCAGCATGTAGTCATGTGGCCTGTAATATAAATATAGTTCTCTACTGTTCCAAAACCTTCTGGCTAAGGAAGGAAGTATAGAAAAGACCTACCTGATGATTTATTTTGATTTGGTATGCTTGATAAAACACACTTTCTGATATGTCAAACCACAGGTTTGGAAGAATGAGCACCATAAGCAGTAGTGTGTGCTTTCAGAGCCATTTGGAGAAGTGTAAGGATCAGACACTAGAAGACTCTCCAGGTTTGGGGCATGAACCTGGCATACAATGTAGATTTCTGTATTTCTTAAGCAACAGCTACATTGTCTGCTGGGTTTCAAGCTGCCTGGAAATTCAAAACAAAATGGTATCCTACTTATCCTATAGGACAAGTATTACATGTGGTATACCAGTCCATTGACTATGCTTATTGCAACCTGAGCGGAGAGTTAGTTAATGTGTTGGCACACTAGACTTTCACTTCTGTAACTAAATTTCTCAAACTGCATCAAAAGTGAAAACAAATGTTATCTTCACCTGTGCAAATTAATATACAGCAAAATGATGCAGTGACTGTAAGTTTCAGTTTGAGAAGCTGAAGGAGAGGACTAGAATAACAGAAGGCTATTATGGATCAGGCTTGAAAAGGGCAACGACAGCTGTGTGGGGAAGTTTGCACAGCATGTGCTAAATACTCTGTGCCTGATTCCAGTTTGTGGTGTTAACCTCTCATTGACAACTTGCAGTGCATGTGCACCTTAACTATATGTTGAAAGTCATAATTGATAAGATAATTCTCGAACTTTAATTTGCCTTTGATTATACTGTGCTGGTCATGGACTTCTGGTTTGTGATAATGGATGACAGTTTTGTAGGGAGGTAGTCTCTCTGATCAAGAAGGCATTATTAATTTAGGACTCTACACTTATACCAATTACAGGAGGCATATCAAAGATACCGCTACTTGAATACAATAATGTAAGAGGCAGAAGGGATCTGTAAATATAATGCGACAGCAAAATTATGTCTTAAACTTCAAATAAAGCTGCTAATTAAACATGCTGTGTGTCTGATTGTATTTGCTCTACTGATATGGATTGCTTTCAGATATCATAGGTCAATGAGAGGCTGTTTAACATTACTAAATGCAATGTCTGCTGTGAAAAGCTCTTTTTAACACTTGCATAAGCCATCTGTGTGCTCTCTGCCATCTCTGTGCTCTGTATAAGAAATACACAGTTATGCATATAGTGTTTTACAGTTTAAATAGAAGGTCTGTGAATGGAAAGCAGCAAGAGGAGCACCTTATTACTGAAGGTGATTTTTTCCCCATCTTAGAATAAGCATCCCTCCCCAGTATGCTTCCTCTTTTGTATTTGTGTGTGTTCCTTAGAAAGCTCTTTTTATCTTTTTTCATAGATGTATGGTATCATTTTGGTATCTGCAGTAGTGTTTGCTATGTCCATCACTTCCATAATCTCAAAAAAATAAAATAATCAAATGGTTGGGGGGGGGGCTTGGAGGGGGTTGGGGTTTTTTTGTTTGGTTTTTTTAAGGAATACATGCAACTAATTCTTTTACTAACCTCCTATATCCCATAGCTTGTCTTACTCATTATATTCTCTTTAATGAAAGGTTGACCTGCATTATATACAGTATTTTAATAATGGCAGTAGGTTCCTAATTACATGAAGTTTTGCCACTTTACTTCAACATCAGGAGATGCTTACCTTTATTGAATGAGATCAGTGTGTGTGTGTGGATAGAAAGGGGGCAAGGGCTGCCTTATACTCTTGCTAAAACCCACAGAGGTACACTGTATTAATTCAGAGTTTCTGAACTGTTTACACAGCCACAATAAGAAAATTACCAGGGTGATTTTTTTTTTTATATGTAAACACCCCATAGTAACTCAGAATGCAGATCAGGGGTGTTCAGTGCTGAGCTCCCTCCCTTGTTCAGTTTCACTTCCCCAGGCTGTTTCAGTTAAACTCATGGTGTTGAAATCCCCTTTGTGGGCAGGTACTTCTGGTTCCCCTATCTGTCTTTGTCATGCTCCTTGTATTTGTATACAGACACCCTAAAAACTCCCTTTGACCTTATTCTGAGGTTCTTGATATATCTTCAAAAAGTTTGCTTCAAACCATCTTCATATGCTTTTATTAGCTGGTACTTATCCTCCTGTTTACATTCTTTTTTCCTTCCTCTGGTAATTCAATTGCTAACAAATATACGTATAGATTGGCATAAATGCCTAAAATTGCCACTGCTAGTAAAAAAAAAAAAAAAAAAAGTTTGTTTCTATTTAAACAGCTGTTTGAATCACAAGTTAAATCCTGTCTGTCTGCAGTGAAGCTAGTTGGGAGTCTTGCATCAAATGGCCCTAAGATTTCATCAACAGTGGACGTGTCTATATGTGTATTTATGCCGGCTTAAATTTACTGCTCAGAAAGCGGGAATAGGCTGGCATCCACATGTGCAGGAGCCCTGGGACTAAATTTAGTCTGCCTGCCATGTACCCCTGTGGCCACCAGGGGGAGCTCCAGTTGGGCTCAAGCCAGCCCCCTAGTGGCTGGGCAGACCCAGCAGGGAGGCCCCCTGGGTTACTGCACAGTAACACATCTACACATGTGCTACTGCACTAACTAATCAAGCATAAATTTGATACCTGCATTATGCAGGTATCAAATTTTATGCTCAAGTCAATGTAAGTTGCCATATTTAGTGCACAGTACAGGTGTGCACATGTAGACATGTACCCATACTGTGCAGTAATTTCGGTTACTGTGCAGTAAATGTGCACATGTAAACGTGCCCAGTATTTAGCTCAAAACTAGTAATTAAAGTTCCCTTCAGCCTTTATACACATCTAGCTCACAACAGGATCAGCTGGAAGTGCTGGCTTCTTACTTCCTCAATATACTTTCTTGTAAATTCTCCTCTGGTCACTGGAGAAAGAGTAATAGGAACAAACAATGCCAAAAATGATACAAGTTTCAAACGCATTGAATCTTAGTCTACCTAGCTTTCTTGTCAAATGCACCAATAGATATTTACATTTGAAAAAAAGAGAAGTAGAAATAATGGTCAGTGTTTTCAGAAGTGTTCACTAACTACTCCTCTGAAGTTCAAGCTTCAGCTATACAAAATGAGAACTGAGCCACTAAAGTTTAGGCCCATATCTTCCAAAAGAATCTACTGATAACTTGCTCAGACACAAGTGAAAGCCAAAGTGGAATTAAACTAAGGGTTCTACACTCCCAATTTTAAACTCTTGCTACTAAACAAAAATGCCAACAAGAATTAAGTGGGCACTTGTTGAGCCAGCTGTTACTCATGGTACTGTACAAATATTGGATGCCACAGCGATTACAGGGTGTTCTGATTTCCTTACATCGCTGTTCCCAACAAGCAGCATAATGGATCTGCTATAACCTGTTTAACTTCCTAAACTACTATTCTTCAGAAGTTGGTTCTTGTGCTTTTATTTGCTGCTTTCAGTCACCAACAGGAATTTCTTGTTGCTGTGAGTCTTCACTGCGCAAAAAAAAAAAAAAAGGGCTGAATTTAGTGGACTTTATTTTCCCAGCTGTATCCTGATTACCAATACTTAACTCTGATTTTTGTTGGGAAAATTAACTGAACTGAAAATGAAGTATTCTGAGAGCTGTTTTCCCTTGGCATACTGACCTTGATGTAGTTGCAGCACATGCTGCCAAACCTATGCCCAGAAGAATAAAAGTGTATTCTGTGATCTTTTCAGAAAGCCTTGAGTGGCTAAGTTGTTAACACTGCAATAAAGAAAAGTTATGTGAAAGGGAGGCCAACTCAGTATAGGGCTGAAAATATTTTACAAAGAAAGAAATTAAACATCCATGTGGCAACAGCTGACCTAGTAAATGAACCCTTTCACTTGACTCTCAGCTGCAGAGGAATTTGATTTTACTTGCTTTTAACAGGAGGGCTTACATTAGCATGTAAGTACATTTATTCATTTTCTGGGGTACCTAAAATAACTGTAAAAGATACTGGCATTATAGATGAATGGACCTTTTACCTTGTTCTGAACAGAATTTATGCAGACTGCATTTAATACAAAATTGCCGTCTTCCTGGCTTTTGGATTTACTAGTAATTCAACATAAACTAAGCCTAGCTGTACTTGTACCTACCTGTCCTGTATATTAGTCATCTCTGCATAAACAGCCACTACAGCCTCCTTGAATTTAAGGATGGAGCTGCTACAATGAATAGCATCTCCAAAAGTTGCAACACCTGCTTGCAGGACTGAAGAATCTGACTGCTGCTCTGTTACACAGGGCTGCAATAGCAGTAGGTGTCTCATATATACCCTATGTGGATGTCACTCTTCAAATAACTATTTTCATATTATATGGAAAGATCTGTAGGATTCTGTGCACAGTGCTTTGACTGAATTCAACTGGGCACTTGTAGACTAAGAACCATAGCCCCCAAATTCAAAGGGCCTGAGTTTCTGTCTGTATGAAAAAGGGTTGTACAGAGTGTCCCACATCATTACCTATAAAATTACAGAACAGGGACTCATTCTTCTTGACAAGCCATGCTGTATATGTACCAGATAAGACTTCAAGTCATAAACAGAATCTTGTGCATGGCCTCAGTGAATTATACCCTGTCCCAAGTAATAGGGTCACTGCTGGCAGGTGATATTGTAAAAGATTATTAATCCTTATTACTTAACAAGCCTTACTGACCAATGTGATGAATAAGATTACTGCTTCTCTCTTTATTTTTATTTTTATATGATTTTAATTTTTTTAGCTTTCTGCAAGCACTGAATGAAACTGTATTCTTTAAAAAGAGATGGAAGAGATATTTTACAAAAACAGCGCACACTTTCATGACTGATCCAGCTTAACATAAACTAGTCATTCTGCTCTCTGCTATACAATAGCAAGTTTCATTTCAGGTGGCTTTGCAGAATGGTTGCTGCACATCAACAAATAATTTGTTATAAGTTAATCATTTTTCATCTACTCTTGAAGTTTTGTTCCTTAGGTTGCTTAGTAACACATGGAGATGCTAAGCCTTCCACTTGCTTTGAATTCCAGCCTTCAGTACAAATACCTTTCCAAAATTAGTGTCTGTCAAGCTAGTGTTGCTGTAATTCAAGTCAATCAAGTTTCCTACAGTAGTTGCTAATTTTCTCATATAGAAACATTTGCAGAATAACTAACATGATGAATTTCTTTGTTCGTTTTTAGCTACAAAAACGATCTCTTAAGAATAATTTAGGAAGCACAAATTATGAAAAAAGTAAATTGTAGGTAATAGCTAGCTCACTCACTAATTTGTACATCACCAGGTGGTAATAGTCTCACTGACTTTTCAGTACTTATTTGTATTACAATGTACAGTTCCAAAGACCAAGCTGGGTTGAGCATTTAGACATTTAATTGTTTTCCCCTATCATAAGACCAGTCAGACTACAAAAAAGTACATAAATAGATGAGTTCAGACTAGTAATATTTTTGGTTTTTCAGGTTTAATTAATCTTTAAACCACTCCTATCAAGCAAGATCAAAAACATAATATATATAGTTAAAACATGTGACTAAAATGGCTTCTCTCTGTCCTCGGACATACTTTGTTTCACAGAGAAGATTGAATTTTCCCTACCTACCCTCCAATAATAATTTAATAAATCATTTAACTGAAAATACTTTCAATTACTTTCTCTTTTTAGGAAAAAAGAAATCTGTCCACATGTGTGTTTGTTTCTCCAGTGGTTCATACTGTCCATGATGGTCAGCTGTGGTGGTTTACAAAACCAACCTCAGCAGCTGAAAAGGGTATCATCTATGCTGAGACCAGGAAATATGAGCTGCTGTTCCCTTAAATGTACCTTCTCTATTCCATGAAATTCACTTAGGCAATCTGTGCATTGGAAAGAGGAGCCCATAAAAAGTTTGCTTTTATAAGACTTGCACAAAGCACTGAGACACTACAATTAATTGTGGCCTTGCCAAAATAGCTAAAAAATATCCTCTAAAACCACCGTGGTTTTGCCAATAG